TATAACAATGGTAACCACAAAATACTGCGATAAAACTTTAAATCTATATTGCAGAGCCCAATGATGGAGATTTCTTCCTAAAGGGAATTGCTTCATTCCACTTCTACTGCATCCTCAATGCTATAAGATGTCCTCTGCTTTCTCAGAATAAGGATTTGCTGCAAAGTCTGTAGCCTCTGTCACAAAACACACAAGTCAGGCCTTAGACACTTCTGTACAGATCTACACAATTTGTATGAGGAAAAAGGGAGGAAGGAGAGCTAAGCAAACCAGTCCAAGTTGAACCTCGAGGTAGGGCCGCCTTAAAAACGGCTGGTGTTTCTAAGCCACGCTTCGCCTTACTACCAGAGGGTTTGTGTGAGCCAAGTGGACGAGGGTTGCAACATACACACCATTTCTCACCATTTTGCACAGATTGGAAGAATTGCACAAGAGCTGCTCAGACGTACATAAAACCTCTGGATTTTAGCCAATTCTTGGTAACGTTGACTCTTGAAAAGAGAGCAAAATCAATGAGGCATCACACGCCAGAGATGTCTTTGACAGTTCAGCATTGTAGATGCGCAGCTCCTGTTTTATGAGTAACATTCTGCATCCACCCTGCTGAGATCCACTCCCAGCATCAGTTGGTTCTGCGGTACTGGCTTTTTTTACCGAGGCTCACGTGTCTCTGGTGATTTACGAGCGGCTTGGTGAGGGGCTCGTTTTTTAAGTTTTACGGCGAACTGTTTGGGGAAAATCTTTTACAACTTGATGCCATCATCTGGATTTCCTTGGACAATTTTTTGCCATACATTCAAAATCCATTCATGTTAATCTGTGAGCATTTCCACTGCTTTCCAGTACTAAGAAACAAAAATGCTTCAAATTACATTCTGTATGGCGCAACCGTACAACCTGTAGTCACAGTGGAATCGAGAAAGAACAGCCTCAGTTGTTCACTTTGAAAGACCAGGTAACCAAACAAGACTTTGTGTTCTCGTAGGAAATGCATGCATGAATGTATACCATCATGCACTGTCCGCTCGCTGAATTTGAGCGGACAGTGGCTGCATATGGATCAGATCTGTTGGTACAGTGGAGCAGTGAGTTGATATCTGGTTACACTTTGGCTCTCCATGAATGAACTGAACTGAACTCAAAAGCTCCATTTAGGAATCCTAAATACGTTTGTAATCTCGGTTGCATCTTTTGCCATGTGTCAGAGTGTGAGCATCACGTCGGACTGCAGGGGACTGCTCCCTCGCCTATCGCCCCCGACAGAAGATTTATGAACAAGATGGCTGTGAACTGGGGGCATTTTTAGACCTCTGTCTCCTGACGGCGTCTCATTTCTCAAACCTGACAGCGACAAGGGAGAAGAGGAGGCGAGAGGAGGGGAGACAATTTGGATCTCGTCCCATACCGAAACAATGTTTTGCCTGAAATTGCAGATAATGCCGCCGCCGCTGCTGCTGAAAGTAATGATAATGATGATGATGATGGAGATGGACTTCATGGTGATGGTCGACAAAGAGGAGGAGGACGTTATAAATACCGAGTCAAGGACACAGAGAATTAAAAACATAAGGATGAGGCCAAATTAAATATTGACGGTGTTGAGAAGTTGAAAAATTCACTCCAGGGATCAATTTGTTTAATGGAGATTTTGCAAATTGGGCATTTTTTTATGTTCCCTAAGCTATATGCTTATCAGCTAAAGTTTTTTGTTTTTATGGACTTTTTTTGGTTGTAAATAACCAAATTCTGACAAAGCTATTGACCTTAACATGTCAGACATCATGTTTGGACTTTATTGAAATTGTGGCATTTGGTAATACTGCAATGGAAAGATTTTTTCGCATCACACGCATCATGTGATCAACAACCGAATGTTACGACTAGCGGAAACGTCAGACACGACGACAGGAAGCAGTTTATGGGTGCGGCATGATTTTGAATGACTTATTGCTTAGTCCCGAGATTTTAGTTGCAATTTTTCTTTTCCACATTAGAGCAATATCTATAAGGTTTTGTAATGCAGATGTTGACTGCTTTCAATAATCAAAAGTACTATAAAATTGTGTTTTTGGGGGGGGTTGCATAGATGAAGATATTCCTAAAAGCGACATGATAGTCAAAAGGGACAAACACAAAACTCAACTTGGAAATACTTTTTATGTGGATAAGTTGTAATTTGCTTTGGTAAGAGCTATTTGAGAAGGACTCGAGTTTCAGACTTTGACTACTGACTTGACTTCGACTTCCTCTCTAAATCCTCAAGCCTCGATCACATTCTTTACCTCGTATAATTTCAAAGCGAGCTAGTAAATAAGCCACAGGCTTCATGTCTGACAGGTGCATAATTTTTCTTTTTTTGAAAGCCTGTCCTTCAGACTTGAAGGAAACATTCTCACTCGCTTACTGACTACGCAGCACCCTGCTTGTTCACAGCGTACCGTGGAACAAGCCTACTGCTTAAAACTTGACAAAGAAACGTAATCAATGTTGGTTTATAAAAGTGGTTTTCTATTACTTTAACAATCTGATGACTAAGGGAGAAAACCCTCCAGGTGTATATAACCAAAGAACAGCCAATGTGAACACATGACAACTCATCATTTAGAAATGGGATATCAACACATGACAATCTGTTTCAGATATCTTTGGTTGAATACAGTTTTATGGAAATTATTCATAGCCGTGGCATATTTGTATTTAAAGTAACGTACGAGATCTTATTCCTGACTGGAGGTAATGTCGACATCTTCGAGTGGCCTAGTCAATGTCCGGACTTGAATCTCATAGGGAAATGTGTGCCTGGAGCTAAAGATTAGGGTGATGGCAAGGAGACCTTCCAACCTGAAGCTCATCAATGAAGACAAAACTATAATTCACCAGCTGGAAAGCAGAGATCAGAACAGCTTTACTGCTGCAATCTCAATAAATATGTCTAGTCACAGAAGAATCAACAAAGAACAGCCTCTGTCTTTATTTATTTTATTTTTTTTAAATGTCTGGAATTAATCCGACAAGTAATTCCTTTATGAAACGCTAATTTAAAAATGTTAAAAGTGGCACTTTTGGGAGATGTCTGCCTCGTTTTCTGTCAGAGACCAACTTTTTCCTCGTGTGACAGGAAATAAATTCAAAACCGAAGCTCTTTAATACATTTCTGCTCATTCATATATTGCCACTTAGCAACGCATATTGTCTCAGCAGACTTTACAAAATGTGCTCAGGCTATGAATATTTAAGTTTAATTCTGAATACCACACTTTATAGAGTAATTAAAAGCAGTTGGAAACAACCCTTTGGTGTGTAGATTTGCCAGCTAAAAGATTCAAACATGATTGTTGAATTAGTTTGGTAAATTAGACCTAAGGACTGTGAGAGCAGAGCAAACGGTGTGGATTTGATTGATTTGACTTGGAGGGTAAATTGCTCTTCCCACATCTCTCCAGTGGGCACCAGGGGCTCGCGTACCCCCCTCAAAAAAAAGCGGCCCTGGCGTTTAAAGAGAATCCTTTCCCGTGAAGTCTGTTCACGCTCTGGCACGCGTCCCGGAAAGCCCCTCGCTGTCCTCCCCTTCGCCCGCACCGGAGGAATGAGAAACGCGCCGCATCGATCACGACGAGGAGCAGGAACCACTTTTTACAACTTGCGCTGTGACTCAAATGAAATCAGGATCCCTCAGCGGCCCTGCAGATCTGCGCCGGATGCCCACCGGCTCGCTTCAGTCAGGCCGCATCAGGCGATGATGAACATTTTCGCGGCGGTAATAGTCGCCTGTGACTAAAAACCGAGTGTTTGGCCCCCAGTGTGTGGGGGCCCCACCGATGTAGGAGGTTGCGAAGGTGGGGGCGGGGGGGCGGGGGGGGTCGGGGGGGGAGTGAGAAGGTGTGTTTACCGGCGCCCATCATAGGTCGCCGGCCTTCAGTGCGACGTGATCTTCATCAGTCGGTGAAGATGACAAGGATTAAAAGCGGGGGGCCCCAGAGCTGTGTGCGTCAGTGCGCATTGGAGAGGCGATAAATCAAATAACTCAGAAAAGCGCTGGAGTAGGGCGCCATCTCTCTACCTCACGTCTTCTGCTCTCTCTCTCTCACACACACACACGCACACACACACATACGCGCGCGCACACACGTGTCCTCTCCCCTCCGTTTGATTCATCTTTTCTCCATCTCCACGTCTTTTTCATGTTTCTACCTATCATCCAATTAACTTCATCTTATAGGAGTGAAAGCAAGCGAACAGAAAAATGGTTTCCATATATTTTTGCTCGTTTTTTTTTTATAACCAAAATCGCTTTGAGGTGGAAATTAAAAACTCTAAACACATTCCCTCGGGCGCGCCATGCACACTCACGCGCGCTGCATTATTTATTAATTTATAATTTTTTTTGACAGGCATAGCTGACTGCCGCACACCCGATCACTTTCACCAATCCCGTCCGCAGACCCCGCTGTTGAGATGACAGTGAATAGACGCCCACTGTCTACACACCAGCAGCAGCTGCCTCGCTGCGTGTGTGTGTGTTTGTGTGTGCGCGCGCGCGCCTTTGGCACCGTGCACCTCCCAGCTCTGAGCGGATCAGCGCGGAAGCTCCGGATCCACCAGCATATGGATCTCATCTAAAAGGTGCTGGTCCCGCTTCCTGCTCAACAGCTGTCCGGTTCCGAACCGCGGCGCTGCTGCTGCTGCTGCTGTCGTCATACATCACACCGGACCCGCAACCATCACACCCGAATCCCACCACCACGCCTTGCTCTCCACCCGATCAGCCTCCGGTTCTCATGTCACCAACCAGCAACCGTCTGGGTCAGACGGTCCGAAGCAGCAACTCTATGAGATTCTGATATCTAGATTTTTTTTTTTTTTTTTTTTTTTGTCCTTTGGATTTTTGCAACCCCGACCAACGTGGCAACATGCGTCTCAGGTGCGCGTCCCACAAGTGAAGCGACCCTTCCAAAAGCTCTTCCAGCACGCAAACTGAAGATACATGACGCTGCTCTTACCGCACTGGGAGTCCCGCTCTGGTGATGAAGAAAGAAGGAAGAAGCGGCAGCAGTCCGAAGCTTTACGGTTCGTTCTGCAGCAGCAAAGACGGAGAAAGCGTGAGTGTGATCCCTGGATGTGCGATCCAGCAGAAAGAGAGAGAGAGAGAGAGAGAGGGGGGGGGGCAGCATGCACATAGAGTGGGTACGCAAGTAGAAGTGGGGGTGGTTCAGTGGCAGAGGCAGGCATGATGCTGAATCGGAGCACCAGCTGCTCCAGATGAGTGATGAAAAAAAAAACCTACAGGGCAACGAGGAGTTGGGGGAGGCGGGGGGGGGGGGGGGAAGAGACGCCGCGAGACACCAGATTTGTTTTATTTACGTCAGAAATGGTATTTTAGAAATGCATGCGAGGTTAAAGTGAAAATAGCAGCGCGAGCTCCATTTAAAATGCCACAGTGTTTTCCCCACCGGGGCTTCAGGAGCAGCTGGGCTCTGAGTGCAGCTCCAAGTTGTATCATTGGGCAACTCTGCGGAAATGAACGAGGATCGAGTCGTTTTGTTTCTTCATCAGGAAAATCAAATGGATTCATTGATGATCACTTTGTGATCAAATCTGGTTTGTGTGACTCAGTTGGGGTGATTTTATTGTTGATCTTGTAAAGATGACATTTGTTATGAGTGACTATTCAATAATAGGCTAGAGGTGTGCAATACTGATACCAAATAAATACAGTATCGCTGATACCAATAGCAATAAGATATTTTTTATTAGTTTGATTATATATCAAACTTCTGATGTTCAGGGGGGTGGAGGGGGTTCTTGATTTTTCTTTAATTTAATTGGCTAAAACAAATGTGTACACAGTTGATCTGTCTCCACAAAATAGTTTGATGACAAACAGAAATAATAATAAATAAAAAACAGAACATATTTGTGTGTATTTATTTCAAAATACAGTGCAAAAGCATTATATTTCAGGGCAAGTCACAATTGGGTATTTGTAGAGTGTGGGTCGAGAAACTTTAATGCAAAAATGAAATAAAATTTCAAGAAAAAAAATCAGAAACTAACGTGTCAATCTTGCCACGCTAGCATCGATCTGATGCTGTTGCAGACAGTATTGGTATTATCGATATTTTGGATCAATCCGCCCACCTCTGCTTGTGGAGTTTCCTTTTTTCGGAAAAGGAAAACGTTTAACAGTTGGACGCCTGAGCGACTCTTAAATTCACTGTGATTTTTCACTTTAAAAATGCTAGGTGCTTCTTTTTTTTCTGTAAAACGTTGAAGATTTCATTTGAAAAGCTTAAAAGAAGATTTTGGACAAGTTAAAAAGTTAAATCTCTTCAGGTCTGAACCTGCACATTTTGTCTATCACACGTTTTCCATCCACACAATTTCCACCCAACATGTCTGGATGCAGCAAATTGAAGAATAAGCTTCATTTCTAATCATCTTTCATGGCTTTAGCTGCGTTGTTAAGTGTGTCATTGACTGTCTGCTTAACATCTTTAAAGTCAGCAGTCTGTCCTATTATACAGGCCATAACAAAGCTTTTTAGTATTTAAAAGCCTCCTTTATTGGCTTTGTATCATATTCAATTTTCTCAGTAACCCACCAACAGGCTTTCATAAGTGTTTTTCCATAACCTTAAGAGTTAACAAAAAATAAATATTAGAAGTTCGCTCTTTCTAATTGAACTAGCAGCATAAATTAGCTTTGTAGCGATTCTAATTAATGAGGCACAACCTTCAGCTGATAGGAGCGGAGAGAATTTGAAGTGGAGAGGACGCACATCGTCCTTTACTTTGTAAGATTTTCGGCGAGGAGAGAGAAAAAACACTTTGAACTAAACAACCACGCCTTTTTTTTTTTTTACCTTTTTTTTTTCCTTTTAGCTGAAACCACCTTTGCAGTTGCACACAGCTTCTTCCCAATCTAGCCACATAGCAATGCAATTGGGAAGCACACACTCCTCAGAGGGAGTTACCACCGACACACACAGGCACCCACACCCTAAGCCTGCTAGTGGGGAGTCCAGGGCAGACATATTTGCGCTGCTGACATCACGGCTGGTCGGCTAGGAATGTATTGATTTTGCCCCAGTGTAATTTATGTGTGTGTGCGGCCTGGTTGTGTACAAGGGCAGCAGGGAGTCACAGATACGCCAGGACTATGCAACACGCCCAGACCGCAATCTTTTTGTCTAGCTCCCAGGCCAAGTGATAAAGCACCCCACTGTGTGAAAGGGGCCTGTGTGGCCCTCTGTGTTTTTCTTCTGCAGTTTTCTTCAGAGTTCTCACATCCCTGCTGCTGCATCAAACTGCTTCAGTGCAGGGTTTTTTTTGTTTTGTTTTGTTTCTGTTTTTTTATTTTCTTACATCACTGCTCGGATCTGAGGTTCTTTCTGAGCTCTGATTGGAAACCTTGTATTCATATGTTTTTATCTTAAGCACAACGTGGAATTATTTAAAGGGGTCTTTTTAATGTAAAATTGACTCTTTTTTAATGTAATGATGGTTTTTCCCTCAATACAAACGTAACAGAGTGTTGGTTTGATTCTTTCATGCATGTTTTGAGAAATCCTTTAATCTCACTCGCCTGAACACGCTCTTCCATTGAGCCGCAGTCAGCAGCTGGGCTTCCTCCTCACGCCACCACCCCGACTCTGCTCCTCCCGACTAGCGGCAGCAGCAGTTAACTGTGCATTTGATAGGAACAACTTCTCAGTCCAACGCTGCTAAGAACAGTTGCTAACCGCGTGAGGAGAAGCTCTGTTGTGATGATTTGCTGAAAGTGGCGTGTCAGAGATAGTAGGAGCTTCTTAAAGCAACAGAGCCCCAATTTCAAAGCGTCAAATTACCAAGTCAGATTTTATCTTTGCTATGTAGAGCATATCAAAAATATCTTCAGTTCTGACTGTTAGAGCATGGTGGCAAAAGAGTGGCATATTGAAAGCACCAAGTCTCAGCCATAAAACACCGTCGACATGCCATCCAGTTCATTTTTTGCTCTTTTTTTTTTTGGTCTTTGGGAGTGATGCCAAAAAAAAAAAAAAGCCTTTTGTTGTCTGGTGAGCACTACCGGGACGTCCCTCTCAAGCATGCACTTTGGTCAAAGAATAGCTTCAGATGGGTGGTGTAAAACAAAATATATCTTTGTGAAAAACTGCACTTTGTTTGCTGTGGCATATAGAAGAAGATCTATGATGCTGCGGGCCCCCGTTTCCCTTCAAATGTCATTTCAAATAAAAATGCAGCAGACTTCACCAGAGAAGTACTAAGTCATGATCTCTGGGTCTGTTGGAGGATAATAATCCAAAACAAAGTCGACAAAGAAACTTTGTACCAGACCAAGAATCATTGAAATGCTCCTCGGCTCCTAGACCTGAAGTTGGAGAAACGAGCGAGCCATGAATAATCAACATTTCGCCTCTCTGATCTTCAACATTCTTAATTTTTTTAGGAATGTCATACTGGTTAATGGAGGCTGTAAAAACTAATAGTCTATTACAGTGAAAATAATTTCTTCACACGATTTTTTTTCATCCACTGAACACATCAACCAAACCCAAATATTTGGGAAATGTGAAATTGAGCTTCCATGACATAAGATGACATCATCTTTAGCATTTTATACATCTTTAGCAAACAATTTAGTCATCACTATGATTATAATTACTATGTTATATTGGTAGTGTACATATAACAGATATAAGAAATAATAACAGGTCAAGTTGACTCCGTTCTTCTTTCTTCCCTGCAGATTAAATCCAGGTTTTATTTCAACCTGCCCGACTCTGAACATAGACAAATAGTGTGTTGTGTAATTTGTTTGTTTTAGGTGAGTAATACGGCGAAAGAGAAGCTCAGTTGCCTCTACGCTTCGTTTAAAGAGGGGAAGCAATTTCCCACCGCTTCCTGGTTGAGGTTGATGAACGATCAAGAAGAGCAGACCGGGGCTCGGGCGTGTGCGCCCACCGTTACGGGCTTTATAACGGTAGGTTCGAATGGAAAGGAAAAACACATCAGCTGCGTTTTTCTTGAAGAGTTTAAAAGTAGTTATCAGAGGTGCAAGATTCAGCATATGAAACTGTTTTGACAGTGTTTCAATATCCCCATAAGCCCCAAAACAAACAAAAAAATCAAAATGAAAGAAGAAAACACAAGAAATCATTGATACGCAACTTTTACCTGGAATCTGCCGGATGCTCTCTTTCTGAGCTGTTACCTCGGGGCTTCCAGGCTGCACTGGTTCTGTATACTGTTCTAGTTACGATCTTGACTGAAGGTTCTGTACATTACACCGCAGCTGCTGTGCGCCGAACCTTCCCAGGTGCATCTTTGCTCAGTCGTCACCTGGTTCAAAACGCTTTCGGTGCCAGGCCAACGAAATAATAATAGTGGTGAAGCTTGTGGAGCTGGTTTAAGCCTGGACTTTGACTAGACGATTCTGACGTGAACGTTGTTTGATTGAAACCAGTCGATCGGGGACGATGAGAAAATATTGTTGTGTTGTGTTCACATAGGTCGTCCCGCGCTCACAGCCCACAGCCCAATGACAATGTTGTAGACGTCCATCGTCTTCCAGTCCACAGTGGACCAAACTAACGTCTTGGATGTTAGAAAGACAGTAGAATGTGACTTTCTCATGTGATGTTGTGTGGACTCTTCCGAGACACAACTCTTGGTCATTTTTCAATAGGTTGTAAAGTGATTCACAATTTGGGACTTTGTGCTGCTATGTGTACATGCAGGAATTCCTGTAAATAAATGAGAAATCTTGCACTTTGCAGGTACCGCTGTGTGATTTCAACCTCTGCAAAGATATTTGTCATTGACTGTAAAGCAGTTATTTTGGGATTATCAGGCAATCTGCATGGGCCCCAAATTATGCAGTGGTGGACCAGCCTTCGAAATGATCTGGTCTTGGACTGGCCCTTTTTTTCATTACTGTTAATATTGCAGATTGTGGAGTTCTGTGGTGGGGCAGGGGCAAAGCGCCAAAGAAAGGTGAGCATCCAAACGAATGTCAAACGCTTGATGCCTCCCAGATATTTTGCTGCACATCAGCGTCCTGACC